GGACATTTTAAAAGCACTGGAGAAATTGGGATGGCAAAGGATTAATTGGGACTGTCCCTGCACAATTGTTGCAACTGAAGGGAATGCATATCCATAAATCCCATTGTTACACTCAGCCTACTCTAGTGTGTACTGAGAGCCAGCGTGGCGTAGTGGTTTGAGCACTGGACCAGAACTAGAGACCAGGGTTCAAATCCTGGCTCAGCCATGGAAACTCACTGAGTGACCTTGGGCAAGCCCCACTCTCAGCCTCAGAAGAAGGCAAAGGGAAACCCCCTTCTGAAGAAACCTGCCAAGAAAACCCCACAATAGGTTGTCCTTAAGATTGCCATAAATTGGAAAGACAGGCAACAACAACAAACAACAGGGCAGAGGCTCAGATGCCAGGATGTCTATTGCTGTCCCTTTATTCCAGCAAAGGCTTTAAAAAAAAAAAAAGGGGGGGGGGAGAAAATAGTCTGTTCATTTGGAGAGCAGATTTCTTTTTTTACGAATCATGATTCAAAGGATATTGCTGCTTCCAACCCAAACAGCTGTTTCTGACCTCACTGAAAGCATGGATGTAAGAGTTGAAATTTTTCCAGAGCTTGAGGTACAGGTCTGTTGTGTTTCTTTTTGTCTGGTGCCATGGCTACCCAGTTATTTATGGATCCAAGAAATGGGATTACCAAGTCATCCTTTCCCATTGGCCTCGCCTCCCTTGCCATAGGATCCAGGAGAACTGGGGACCCTTTGGGATGAAAAGTCCCAGTATCCCCCTGAATCTTGGCAGTACCTCCTTTATGTCCTCCTCTCCGGTTTTCCTTTGAATCTACGGATTTGATACGAAATGTTTCCCATCTGTTCATTTGATGCTAAAAAGGCTGCCATTTGGTCATTTTTCAGATGTTTGTAACAGCAATTGTTTCATGAAATGTGTGCTTTGAGTTTCTTGGGGAAAACAGAATAGAAAATTTTAGCTTTTTTGATCTACAATGGCTGGAGAAGTCTGGGAATAATAATAATAATAATAATAATAATAATAATAATAATAATAATAATAATAATAGAACGCATCACCCAGATGTGAACATCAGGCTGCATCTGCACTGCAGAAATCAAGCAGCTTGACACCGCTTTAACTGCCGTGGCTCAATGCTATGGAATCCCAGGATGTGTAGTTTGGGGAGATCTTTAGCCTTCTCTGTCAGAGTGTGCTGGTGCCACAGCAACCTACACATCCCAGGATTCCATAATATTGAGCCACGGCAGTTAAAGCAGTGGCATGTTGCATGATTTCTACAGTGTGGATGCAGCCTCAGTTGCTTGAGACCGAAGAGCCTTTCCTCCTGGGCCCTGCCTAGCTGTTGGACAACAGTTCCCATCACCCCCAGGTGGCACTGCCCATGGGACCTTTAGTCCAAAGTGTCGCTTTCCCCCAGTGCTCCTTGCAAAATATCCATTAGAGCAATTCATATGCAGAACCTTTTGCTCAGGGAAGGCTGTGCCCAAGTGAAATGCCATCCTTCCCTTTCTCCAGGGGGGTCCACTCCCTCCTCCTGCTCTCTGCTTGCCACCCAAAACTGCTTGGCAAAGTCCCTCTTGTGTTAGTTACCTGAGGTGACGGATCCGGCCCGGCCACCCTAATGCGATGTGATGGAAGCAGCAGACCTTTAAATGTCAACCCCAGCGTGGCACAGCTTTCAAAATAACCGGGTTTCTGGGGGAGAAATCCAAGCAAGAGTTGTCTGTTTGCGATCAAACAGAGCATGCCCCTTCTCTTGTCTTTGCTGGCTGGAGATTTCCCCCTGAGATTTGAGGCATGAGTGTGTTGTGTTTGACCCACAATTCCATATCTATCCCAAACCGTGGCTTCCAGGTAGCTGGAATGGGGACTCCGCTCCAGATTGTAGTTGGAACTGGGCTCTCCCAAGTGGCGAGCCTCTTTTGGCTGAGAGAATTCAGCCTGCTCTGCTGGAATGGCTGGAGCCCACTGCGCGTTTTGAACTCATCACCTGAGCCACGGAGCCATGGGACACCTCTCACTCCAGAAAGGAAAAAAGGGAAGACACTTGCACAGACAGGCCAGGCCAAGTGGAGCAAGGGATACTCCCCAGTTGCACATAATAGCCTCGAGGTCCTTCATAAATGGTATTACGGTCAGAGCGGAAACGTAGTTTGGCAGGATGCAGGTCAGACTGTTTTCTACCTTAGTTGGGAACGTGGTCTGCACAGAAACATTATTTTCTGGACAGAAAATGCAGTAGTTGAGGACAGAGTCTGCAAAAGGCGATATTGTTTTCTGTGCTGAAAATTCTCTTTTTAACACAGAAGACACCTAATTAGTTGGAAACTTGTTCTGCACCAAAATATGATTTTCTGGGCAGAAAATGTGTCCTGCACAGAACATGCACAAACAGCCACATACCATTTTGCACAAAGTACGCTCCAAACTATGAAGATGTTCATCACTCCAGATTCTGCTCATCATTCTCAACACTCGAGAAACCCGTTTTTTGACCGTTTAAAGAGTATTTTCCAACAAGATTGGACTTCATTTCCATATACGCTACAGAAATAATGCAGTTTGACACTACTTTAAGTGCCGTGGCTCCATCCTATGGCATCCTGGGATTTGCAGTTTTGCAAGGTCTTTAGCTTTCTCTTTTCCAGATTGCTGCTGCCTCAGAAAAATGACAACTCCCAGGATTGAGGGGGATAGAGCCTTGGCAGTTAAAGTGGTGTCAAACTGCATTATTTCTACAGTGTAGATGCACCCTGTGTCTCAAAAAAGTAATTTTTCTAAGCACTGGCAGTGGGCTCATTCTCCAAATAAACTAAGAGCATGGCATGAAACCTCATCCACCAAAATACTTTTTTTTCCTGGGGACTGAAAACAAGTGGCACTTGTTCGGATCAAATTTTCCACCTCCACTCCCCTAAGAAGTGGGTGGAAGTAGATCACCTGGCCCTCTGCCAAACATCTGGCCACCGGGGCTCTTCCACGAGCCTTTATTTTGTACTTGGACTGGGAGAGCATTCAGAAACCTGCAAGCGTGAGCCCTCCCTCGCTCTTGCCTTGCCCTTTGCAAGTGTGGGGCAACCTGACATTGAGCTCCTCACGGCCTGGAGCATTCCTTCGCAGAGCTCCCAGCGGTTCAGAGACCCCTTTCTGGTGCCATGCAACCAGGAGACAGGATTGGATGGAAACTTCACAAGCAATTGCCTAAATAGTGATCGGTGCTCACTTTGGTCACAGACATCGATTTCCCCAGCCAATGGCAAAGATAGCTTTTGAAAGTGAGCCCGTCGGTGGGTCGGCTGGGTGTACAGTGAAGGTCTAGGTAGGCGTTGTATTCAATGTCCAAAAGGATTGCATCATGGGCACCATGTTTCCCACCCGTCATAAAGAACGCATTCTATTATTCTTATTCTTATTTTTAAATAATTATATTTCTATCCTGCCTGGTGGGCCACTGAGGAATCCCAAAGCAGAATGAAATTATGCATATACAAATGTGTCGGTGGTGGATTTTGCAAATAGGTCAGGCTGCTGGTTAAAGGAGCAAAACAAGAATACAGCATATTCTGCAATATCTTCCCGCATCTTTTGTCCGCTTGCAGGGAACGTTGGTTTTCGGAAGATGACTCCCCAAATTCCCCAGCCAACATGGCCCTGGGACAGAATCCTGTTGGCGTCTTACACAAGAGTAAGTTCCCCATTGAAAGTGCTTGGACATGTTTGTATTCTTCCTCCTCCTCTTCCTCAAAACAGTTTCAAACAAGGAAGGTCAAACCATCTAAAAAAGTTATTATTAATACATGGAATTTAAATCCTTTAACATAGAGCCATTCAAAAGCAAAAGATAGACATACGCAGGATGAGGTCCCATCAACAACCCACTAAGACTGAAAGCCCAAGCAGTGAATTTCTCAAAAGCCCATTGGAGCAGAAAAGTTTCCAAGGAGAGAGCCATAGTCTGACTAGGAAGGGAGTTCTCGGAGCTGGGAGTCCACACCCAGAAGGCCTTGTCTCCCTTGTTCCCACCAGATGCAGCTGTGAGGATGATGGGATAGAGAGGAGGCCCTCCCCTGAAGATCTCCAAGCCCAGGCAAGTTGGCAAGAGAGAATACGGACGGTCTCTCAGAGAACCTGGACCAGAGTCTTCTAAGGTGGTATAGCTCTTCACTTTGAGTTGTGCCTGGAAACAGTCTGGCAGCCCATAGACAGTTCAAGGTTGCAGACCTGGAGTTGCGTATGCAGTCCCATTGCACACCGGGGTGTGAATTTGGTCGTGCATTTGGGTGCACATCCCATTTTGCACTTGCTCGCCTCCCGTTGCCCTTGACAAAAGCATTGCATCGCACAAACAGTGTGCAACTCCACAAACAGAGCTGTACGCCGTGCAACCCAAATGGAGCATTTTGGCTGCTGTCTTAGCTACTAGGCGTGCACGGAAAAGTCACCAGTGCCTTACTCCTTTCTTTCTTTCTTTCTTTCTTTCTTTCTTTCTTTCTTTCTTTCTTTCTTTCTTTCTTTCTAGCAGTGGCAGCAGTTGTTGTTAAGATGCAGGTGGCCAAGTTGTTGCGAGGGTGGATTTAGTTAAGGTTGGCCAAGCTGCTCAGTCCATTGGAAGGGGAGAAGGTCTTAGGAATAATCATGAGCAAACCCAGGCGTCACTCCAAGGGCAGGTCTCGCAAGGGCTCCTTCTGTCATTGCTCATGAACTTCTCTGGGGTTTTTATTCTTCTTATCTTGATCTCTTGCAACCTTCACTTTCTGCTCTGCATGCACCTCGGGGCAGGGACTCCTCCCACAGGGAGGGAAATTGGTGAGCTGATGTCGAAGTGAACTTCTGCCTAAATGTCAAATTCTGCGATTCAGGAAAAACCACAAGCAGAACTTCCATGACTTTCAGTGAGGCTACACAGGTGAATGTGGCGAATGGTTTGTAGTTTGGCTGTTAGATTTCTCTTTTGTTGAACACTGAAGGATGTAAAATCCATCACCTGAAGGGACTGGCAGCAATCCATCTCTCTCTCTGTCTGTCTGTCCATCGGTTGATCTATCTATCTCTATCTATCTATCTATTTATCTATCTTGTCTATTTTCCTGCCATTCAAGATTTAAAAATTTTACTTTGGGGATTTTTGCTACAAAAATGCATCACTGGCACTGGGCATGCCAAGAATACTTGCCGGTTTCCTAGTTCTCCAGGAGAAACAGTGT